ACTGTCTACTATTGACCTTTCCTAAGAGGTCTGTAGGGGGCATGCATAAGCGCACCAACGTGCCTACCGTCCCTGTCCTATTGTTTCTCTTATTTTTCTTATATGTACCCATTTCATGTATTCATAACTATGTATATACTTCTACCTATTATCTTGTAAGCGATTGACAAATCAAGTAACACATAAATAAAAAATAAATAAAGATCTGTTGGAGACTGACTGAATATGATTGATAATTCTTATTTGATTACTTTGAATGCCATTAGCCTCAATTATTACTTAAGACATTTATTAAATTGTTACAAATTACACTCATTTCTGGACTGTGTGAACAATTTTTGTTTAATAAGCTGTACTATTCAGTCCAGACAAGACTGGTGCTGTACACATCTCAAAAATTTTACAGCTCTGGGTGTGTTTTCTCTTCTTCAATTATTGTTTTCATTTTTTCAGGCAGGGTCTTTAACCAAAAGTCCACATAGCTGTTTCTCAGTTTCTCTGATTTCCTTTGTTCCAAGTTTAATTCGAGATACTCTTCATGCAGACCATACTGTGGCCATTCCACCAGACCTTCGCCGTTTGGGTTCCTGGAAATAGCAGAGTCAAGAATTCAGAGGTTTGCCTTTAGCGTAACTGTCATCACTTAACTCAGCCATCAAAATTCAGTGTTTCAAAATAGCCAAACTCTCACCCGTTACGGGCAAAGTTGCTCCAGTATTTCATGATTGTTCTGCTAAGCCGTTTTTCCTCCTCTGTAGCTTCACCTGTGCAGAGCACACAAGAGAAAATACTTAGTCACGCCATGCATAATCTAATTAGAATTTAAAGGCTTTAAAAGGATTTCAACCTATTTTGGAGAAAGTTCACCAGCAACTCCCATCTATCTGCCGTTACAGCTAAACTCATTTCCCACGAAGTGAACCTGAGACTTTGGGGCCACTGACAAGCTGTCTGAGTTAGGAACTGCTGGGCAGGGTGGGGTGGGGCTCTTGGCCTGATCATCTGATGGGATGTTATTTTGGGTCCGACAGCCTTGTTGTCATGCAAAAGTAGAATCTTCAGGGTCCCCCAATAGGTCTTCAGTTTGTGAATGAAACAAGATCATTGATTTGAGCCACCTGACTAGTTAAGACAGAATCTTGCTAAATCCATGCAAAGTTCTCCTAGTTCTTTCGCCAGCCACAAACACCTGGGTCCAAATGGCTTATTAACAAGCTGCAGTTAAACTGTCAATCACTGGTCTGAATAGAATCGAACGAAAGCTGATCTGCAAACCCCTCGTAAATGGCCTGATCTGGACAAGATGTCTGGATTTCCATTCATTTGTTTCAGGGCTTACTTAATGTGATTGAGTTGCTTCTCAGGAATGGCCCCCCAAATACAAAGCCGAGTTCATCGCCATGGTCTGCCTTTACAAAATCTGGCTTCCTGTCTCTGAATGCTGTGGGGCGATGCTGGAACTCATAAAAGTAGACCGGAGCAGCGGAATCTATGAAAAAGATGAGAGGCAGAGAAAGTGTTACAGCCGTGTAGACCCAGGAGCCGTGGGACGTGTGTTCAGTGGGAGACAAGGAACACGACAGCTGGGATCCTGCATTAACAGGCATGAGGGCACTTTTAGAGAAAGTTACGTAAGTTAAATTAAAACACTATATATATATAGAAATAGGGAATGAGGGTTGCCTTGGAAGAATTTTCCAGTAGCCAGAAAGACGGATGCCTGTCCAGAAATAATTTTAAGAAGCCCATGTCTGAACATGCCATGCCAGCCTCACTGGACAGGATACAAGTGATGCTGCACCGGTCTGTATGATCATCCCTGCTTTCTGTTTTGCGATGATGCTCAGCGAAAGTTCTTCTTCCCCAGTTTGAGCAGTTGTTCTAAATCTTTATGCCTCAGTCTAAACTAAGCAAGAGAAGCCCTCCTTGGATCTATTCTGGACTCCTTGGGCTTCCAAATTAGCCAGAAGCAATTCAGGGGGATCTGGCTAAGGTGGGATGGATTCTCTTTCCCACTTTCCCACACTGTCTCCACACAATGAGCTCTAGAACTTTGGCTTTGATTTATTCAGCTATGACCAGGATTGATTCACCTTATTAAAAAGAATATTTGTTTTAAGTGGTATTTTATGGCCAAAGTGTTTTTCTGCAACTGAGAGAAGCATCCACATTTCTAGTTGCTTTTTTCCAGACCTGCAAAAGCAGATTAGTTTATCAAGGACTAAGTGCCCTTTGTACCTCCTTGACTTGGAATTTCTTCTGGTCTGGGGAAGAATGCCGAGCACCAAAACGTCCTTCCTAGCTTGGCTCATCTCCCTTCAGGTGCAGAGTGGGTTTTTTTTCCCCCTTCTTGATTTATTGCAACAGAAAAAAATACTACCTAAAGTTGACACCTGAAAAGGATCAAGTTCCAAACTGCTTCTAATTTCTGTTTGTACTGGTTCTAGATGAAATGGCAAAATGCTTCTCATAAGATAGCTAAAATGACAAAAATGACAAGAATAGTCTATTTTTTGTAACCTTCTCAAGTTAGTTGGGAATTGTATTTTTAAGTTATTTTTGCCACAAAAAGCAGACAGAAATTCTGAATTGAGCCTTCTGGTTACCATTTGCAATCAGAGGGAAAAAAACCAATTAGAAGTAGTTAAAAATCATAAAACAGCAGGAGAGGCCTCCACCCTTCCAAAATATCTAAAAACTAACATTGACTGGTGGACACCAATTCTTTCAGCCCTCACTGTGACCATAGCTGATTCCTCTTTGGTCATTCTAACAAACTAGGCTTTGTCAATTATAACACCTATTTATAAAAAAGGCTCCATGATCAACCTGGGAAACTATTATTCCATTCGTTTATTGCATATAATCAACAAATTATATCGGAACACTTTGGAACTGACTGGAGACCAAAAATATCTTCGCAGATGAAGAGGTTGATTTTATAACCGCCAGACCAAGAACTGATCATTGCTTGGTTTTCCAATATCTACTGGGAAAATATAGTACAGGGCCCAATGGGGCTTTATACAAATCCTTTCTTGACATTAAATTCACCTTTGCTCTATTCTGTTCTATTTCTATTCTAGGAAAAAAACTATGACTTTGTAGATGAACTCACCTCTGTGGTATCTTGCTGTTTGAAGAGAAGGCATGACAAAGATGGCATCTTCCATCATTTTTTGAAACTGACTGCGTAACTCTATAGGGTCTTCAGTGGCTTCCAAATACTTATCTAATATCATCTGCATAATCTCAGGAGGGTAATTCTGCCAAGAAATAAATATATACGTTGAGACACTGACCATGGTTTTGCTTTTTGGCACTTCATTAACACTAATTAACTTTCATCACCAGAGATGTGGTATGTTCCTTCTTGCTTCAAACGCTCTACTATCATCCCAGTGCCAAAGAAGCCCTCCATCAGGGAACTGAATGACCACAGACTCTTAACATCTGCAGTTATGAAAATCTTTGAAAGGCTTGTGCTGTCCCACCTGAAAACCATCACGGATCCGCTGTTAGATCCCGTGCAGTTTACATACCAAGCAAATAGATCGACAGATGATGCTGTTAATATGGCTCTGCACTATATCCTACAACACCTTGTAGGATATAGTGCAGAGTACAAATACCTACGCAAGGGTCGTCTTTGTAGACTTCAGTTCTGCATTCAATACCATCATTCCAGACATTCTTTTAACTAAACTAAACCAGCTAGTGGTACCTGAACACACTTGTAAGTGGATCATAAGCTTCCTAACAGACAGGAAGCAGCGGGTGAAGCTAGGCAGAATCACATCTGATACCTGCACAGCCCTCCCCGCCCCCACAAGGCTGTGTGCTTTCTCCACTTCTCTTCTCCCTATATATCAATGACTTCTCTTCTCTCTATATATCAATGACTCAAATGATCCTTCTGTTAAAATACTGAAGTTCGCAGATGATAGAACAGTGATTGGTCTCATTCGAGACAACGACGAATCCGCATACAGACAGGAGGTTGAACAACTTGCCTCGTAGTATAACTGGAACAATCTGGAACTGAACACACCCAAAAACGTAGAAATGGTGGTAGACTTTAGAAGAAACCCTAATACCACCTCTTACAATACTAGACAACACAGTATCAACAGTAGAGACCTTCAAATTTCTAAGTTCTGTCATATCACAAGACCTAAAATGGACACCTAACATCAAAAAATGTCATTAAAAAAGCACAACAAAGAAAGTTCTTTCAGCGCCAACTCAGAAAGCTCAAACTGCCCAAGGAATTATTGAATCTGTCATCTGCACCTCTTTAACTGTCTGGTTTGGTTCTGCAACCTAACAAGACAGACATACGTCAGACACAGACTTCAGAGAATAATTAGGACTGCAGAAAAAACAATTACTACCCACCTGCCTTCCATTGAGGACCTGCATGCTGCACGAGTCAAAAAGAGGGCTGTGAAAATATCTACAAACCCCTCACATCCTGGACATAAACTGTTTCAACTCCTCCCCTCAAAACGACGCTATAGAGCCCTGCACACCAGAACTAGACACAAGAACAGTTTTTTCCCGAATGCCATCACTCTGCTAAGCAAATAATTCCCTCAACACTGTTCAACTATTACAAAATCTGCCCTACTATTACTATTAATCCTCCCATCCTTCCTTTCACCCACCCCTCCCACTTATGACTGTATGACTGTAACCTTGTTGCTTGTATCGTAATGATTTTTATTGACTATTTATTAATATGATTTGATTCTTATTGTACCCTATGACTATCATTAAGTGTTGTACCTTATGATACTTGACAGATGTGACACAGAAATGATACAAGGATTGGGAAAATAGCTGGTTTTTTTTTAATTTTTGTAGCTTCTTATGAGCAGTCTGTGGCATTCTCCCAACTGTCTGCCTTTTTAACGATTATTTTAATACATTAACATATTAACATATATTTAATATGTTAAATATTAATATAGTTAATAAATTATGTTAATATATTGCAGCCTGCTTCTAATTTGAAATGTGCTAACAGCCCTGTAATCTCCTTGGGCAGCCAATAAGATCCTCCAGCCACCCTGGACTGCTGAGTCCCATCTCTGCTCTGGGCAAGAGTCCCAAAGACAGACTCGCCACTGGCCAGAGGCTGCCCAAGGCTGGGACTTGGACTTTGGGCTGGGAGAGTGCTGCGGGAGGCCACACCCTATTTTGGATGGCAGAAGCACCGCGAGCCGGTCCTTTATTATTTCCAGGCTGGTCCCAGATCTAAACAGCCCGGGGGCTGGATCCAGTCCACAGGCCTTGAGTTTGACACCCCCTGTTTAAGTACTCTAATTAGAATAAAAATATCCAAAAACATCAACTAATCAACAAGGAAAAAATATATAAAATAGACATCATAGCTGAAACTCACAGCTGGTCTGCAATCCCCCCTTGAGATCTTTCACAAAAGAGTCATTTATCTTCATCCCACAAAATCCACCTCCCTCAGGACAGATTTTTTCTAAATTCATTGGACTTTCATGGCTTCCCATCTTGCCAAGCCATTCCGTTTAACTCAGCTTCAAAAGAAGTAATGAATAGCAAAACTAACAACAGGAAAGCAGGATAATGGTGACCAGGCCAAATCTGCCAGCAGGGGTTGAGAAGGGCCGGCTGGGCCCTCCTGGCTGCCTGAAGGGTCAGCAGCTTCAGCTTTCTCATCAAGCCACTTACAGCGCATCAACCAACATTCCACACAAAGTGAGTCATGAAGGAGGTAGAAACTGGTTTGTCTAATACCCAGATAGAGGTGAGCGGCTGCATCTCTGCTGCAATCCTTTCCCGATCCATGCCATCTATATCTGAAGAATTTTTTGCCAACTGAAATCCAAAAAAGACATTTCAGAATTTCAATTGAACAATTGAACAAATTATAAAAAACTATTAAAACTGAGCTGCTATTTTGTAAGTAGGCATTAATGAATTAAAACATATTTTGTCACAGTGCAATAAGCACTTAAAACTATTCATATAAAAACAGTTTATAAACAAGCGTGGGGATGATTTTCCCATGTGCTGTGTATCCCCTGCCCTCCTCCTTTCCCCACTATGTTCCCCATTTGGTTTTTTCTTTTTAGACACGGTGTGTGGTGGAAGGTTGTGCAGATTCCCAGGAGGGAGGGAGCCAAAGGCAAGGCACTTGGATCCTGCAATCTGTGTGTGAGAAAGAGGGTGACGATGGCTCCTGCTTGGCGGTTCCCCGAATATAGGAGTGCAAATTGTCCGCTTTAGTTCGCCAAGATTTCTGTCTATGGGTGAGGGGCAATAAAGGCAACAGCTGACAAGAATTGCAGTGTATGTGTTGTGGTTCTGGAACCTGAGACATGGACTCTACTTCATTTGGACTCTACTTCTATCAGGTCGTCTTTGCTGGACGTTGTAAATCCGACTCAATCTATCAGTCAACCCTGTGGTCTGGATACCCTGTGTAGGACGTAAAAGATCTCCTCCCCATCACCTCTTGGACCCCTGGCCAAATCCTTTCCATGAGGCTTAGCATCCAGTGTCACCACCTTTCCCCCTTCTCGAAAGGAACAAGAACAGCATCTGCCCAACCCTTAGACAATCTGGACAGCCACTCCCAGAATACATTATATTCAGCTACACCAGCATTTTGTTATTTTTCAGTATTTTTCAGCACTTCAGCACTCCTTTCGTGTTTTTTTTTTCATGAATCACAAACAACTTACTCTGTGGATAAGCCATCCATATTCATTATTATTCACCCCAATTAAATATGGGACGGCATGAAGCTCCCTGGAGACCAACAGTTCCTCTGGTGCTTTTAGAATGAATTCTCCATCAACAACTGCAGGAATAATGTGAAGTTCCTGGGGAAAAAAGTTACACTAATGCGAAACTGGAAAGGTACAGAAATGTTTACTTTGAGGCTCAACAAAAATTAAGAAAATTAAACCTGCAAATCTCTGAGGGAGATGGGCGGTTAAGAAATAGGAAAAACCAATCAATCCATGCCTGCCGGCCTGTCTCTGTGCAGATTAAAACAATCCAGCCGAAAGCTACAGAGTTGTGATCCCATCCCAGCCTCATGTTGTTGCCTTTGACTCTGGCTCTCTCTCTCCTGCTCTCTTCAAGGGGTCAGGATTCTTGCTCGAAGGGGGTGCAGAGATGTGGCCTAAGCTGATCTTCTGGGACCCAAAACTTGTCTTAAAAGAAAGGGGATTCTTTCTGCAGCTTTCATTATCTTTTATCTTTATTTGTTTTATTTAAAGTCTTTGATTGTGATGCGCCATCAGGGTTATTAAGATCTGGGCAGCATAGAAGTTTAGTAAACAATGATTATAGAGTGATCAGCAGGCTCTGAATGCTGCAGGCTAGCCCATCTCACGCTGACCGAGATAGAAAAGGCATTGATGCTTTTGAATGGTGATACTGAAAAGGGCTCCTGAGAATACAATGCATAGCCAAGAAAACAAATCAATGGATAACTGAACAAATCCATCTAAAGTTTTCACTCGAGACGCAAATGATCAGGCTCTGCTGACCAACCTATTTGGAACACATGAGGTAAAATCCTGGCTTTCCAGAGAAGTCTGTAATGCTGAAGTGATGGAAGGAAAGAGAAGAGGAGGAAGACTGGGCTTGTTTACAGCCGTGATGGATGGGACCCTTGGAAGACGAGAAGGGCCACGCTGGGAAGGATCAACCGGGAGATCAACAGCAGCCACCTGGCTCCTAAGAGTCAAGTCTAACTTAAGGGTTTGAGCAAGCAAGCAAGCAGCTTTCTTAGCAGATTCTGGGGGTTGCTGTCAGGTTCCTGCCAGAACGCTGCCATTCTGAAGGGGAGGGGAGACGCTTCTTGGGGCCAATTGCTTTGACTGCTTTGGCTTTTGCTGTAACCTCATGGGAATTGGGGAGGGGGACTGGGCCATCAGGATAGATTCCCTCCCAGCCAGTCCCAGCCAAGAAGAAGAGAAGGACCAGGAGAGACATGATAGCATCTTCCAATATTTGAGGGCTGCCACAGGGAGGAAGGGGTCAAGCTATTTTCTAAAGCGCCTGTAGGCCAGACAAGGAATAATGGAAACTGAACAAGGAGAGATTTAACCTGGAAATAAGGAGAAACTTTCTGACAGTGAGAACAATCAACCGATGGAACAGAAGTTTCCCTCAGAAGTTGTGGGAGCGCCATCACTTGAGACTTTCAAGGAGAGATTGGACTGCCATTTGTCAGAAATGGTGTAGGGTATCCCACTTGGGCGGCGGGTTGGACTAGATGACCGACAAGGTCCCTTCCAACTCTGATTATCTGTTATCTGTTAAGGCCACAGTGCCCCGAGGATGACCTGTTATCACCAACCCGCCTTGGAGTTCTCATAACACCTTGGCAGCATCTCATTGGCTACTGGTGGACATGGGGCTCTGGGTCGGGGTTGAAGAGGGGAAATTAGCTTAATGCTTTGTGTGGGAATCTTCAGACTCCGCCTGACTTCTCTGCAATCCCTTCTCTCAGCAAACGGTCCTTTGGAACTCCTTTCCAGAGTCATGCTTTCCTGAGAAGGGAGCCGAGGCAGGTCCTTACATTTGCATTCTATGATCTTGAGGGATGCTTTCAATTTGCAGAGTCTGACTTTTAGTGGATGAACATCCTGTCAGTAGAATTGAGGATTCACAGTTGAATACCTTCCATTTCTTACCGGGGGCAACCTGGAAACCAGTGACTGTAGTTCTCCTTCCGTCTTGTTCCGTAAGCAGAGCAGCATGGCAGGACTAGTAGGATCACAGTTGGCAGCAGATGCCACTTTCTTCAAGGTGGAAAAAATATGTAATTTAAATGAGGTACAATTTACACTGATCAAACGGGGATACAAGGCTATGGCCCTACTTGCAGAATTCAATTCAGATTTTGCCTTTTCTGAACTTCCACATCCAGTAACTTGGACTTCTACAAAAGCAAGACCTGACCTCCTTGACTGCACATCGAGAGGGTACATCTGGGGAAGGGGATGTTCATAAAAAGTGGCAAACCCTCCCCCTTTGTCATCACTGCTGGGTCTCATGTGAGCAGGGTGTGTCCCTCTGCTTCCAGGGATGTCGTGAGAGGCTCAACACCTGGCAGCTGGGCAGCAATCAAAATGCAGGAGATTCATAGGCACAGGCTATGGGGGTGTGGTCTGGATTTGTCCTTTTGGACCAATTTACTCCTTGAACCCAAACCATGTTGATGGCTATTTGACATATGCCTGATCATCATTTAAGAGTTCCATGGCTCGCTTTGAGCCTTGGTGGCGCAGTGGTTACAGTGCAGTACTGCAAGCTACTTCTGCTGACTACTGGCTGCCTGCAATTTGGCAGTTCGAATCTCACCAGGCTCAAGGTTGACTCAACCTTCTGTCCTTCTGAAGGGGGTAAAATGAGGGCTCAGATTGTTGGGGGCAAGAGGTTGACTCTGTAAACTGCTTAGAGAGGGGTGGAAAGCACCGTGAAGTGGTATATAAGTCTAAGGGCTATGGCTATTGCTACTGCTTTTATTTACAGTAAAAAAAAAAAAAAGGCAGGTGGATATTGGGGTACCAGCATGCAGTTCTCAGACAACGGTTACTTACTTGAGCAAGGATTTCTGGATGCTGGATGAAGAAGCCGGGTAACTGGACACTTCCACTCTCAGAGATCGCTCTGTGAAACAAACCCTTGGACAAAGGAGATAGAATCTACCCACACAGACAGGCAAAAAAAGAACAAAATATTCCATCACTTTTTGAAAGGGCCTTAATAATAATATATCAAACTTCTCTTCAACAAGGAACTTGGAGAACATTAAAAATGCAGATCATCTCTGCAACTGTGGTGCCTAGAGGTAGGGGCCAATGGAATTGGGCATAGACGTCTGTGAGGTGGTGTGCCTTTTAAAAATCCTATTATTGTCCATAGATAGAGAAGCTTTCCTAAACTCTAATCCTGAGGTTTGGCCAGAGTTGGTTTAAACAGTAGAGTTGCTTAGGTAAAAAAAACAAGGCACACCTCCATGTGCCACAAGAGTCTTTGTCATTCAAGAACATTTCAATATCTGCTTCGATGTTCAGATTCTTGAAAAAGTGGTTGTCTTCAGTTTGCCAAACCACCAATTCAGTGTCTGGGTTGCTTGGGGCTGATCAGAAACCTTATACCCTCCAGTCCCTCCCCAGAGTTTTCTCTGATGGTTTTAATTTGCACAATGGGCTTAATCAATGAAGAAGCAGCTGCATCCTCAACATCCTAAGCTTGTTTAGTTT